TGGCAAACATGTAGTCAAAGTCAACATCACCTCTAATGAGACAAACATATTATTATATGCTTCCTGATAGTTTGCATTGAGAAGGACACAGCAGCACTTCTGTAGTATTCCTACCAGAAAAGCGTAATCTGAATTGAAAAGAGGAAATGTCAGACACAAATTGAGAAACTTTCTACAAAGTAACTAGCTTGTATCTTCAAAAGTGTCAAAGTCAAGGAAACACTGTGGACCTTTTCTAGACTAAAGCAGAGTAAAGAAACAGGACAACTAATTGCAGTGCATGTATCTGGACTGGATTTGGGCTGGGAGGATAGCTAAAAAGCACATGATTGAAACATCAGGTGAAATCTGAATATGAATTAGATAAGGAATTGTCAAACTCTACATGGCCCTCAGGCCAAATCCAGCCTACTGTCTATTTTTACATGGCCTACAAACGAAGAATGGTTTTCACATTTTCAAATGGATGAAAAAAATCAAAAGAATAATATTTCATGACACATTTAAATTAAATTCAATCAGTGTCCATAAATAAGCTTTTTTGAAACAGTCACATTCATTCACATATGCATTGTCTACACTGCTTTAGCACTACAATGGCAGAACTGAGTAGTTACAAAGCCTAAAATATTCACTACCTAGCCTTTTATAGAAAAAGTTTGCCAACTCCTGGTTTAAACAATAGCAGAGCCTCTATTTAAATACCCTGATTTTGTTAATTAAACTATGATTATCAGAAAGAATGTCCTTGTCCTTAGGAAATATGTGCTAAAATAGTCAGGAACATGATGAAGACTCTGGAAAAAAGATGTGCACACACACATCAAGAGAGGGAAAACTCAAATGAGAAACAAATGGGGAAAAGCACTAAAAATTGGTGAATCCAGGTACAGAGTATATATTCTATTATTTGTTCTATTCTTATAACTTTTCTGAAAGTTTGAAATTATATAAAAATAAAAAGTTATAAAACTACTGATTAAATATTAAAACTCAACCTTTACAGAAGGCTGATAATAGAATCTTCCAACTCGACAACTCTTGCAGACTTGAGTTTGTAGCCATTCAGAGGGCGCATCAGTCAGAGGTGTTATACTCACCTTGGAGTGATCAGTTGCTCCAGCCCACGGTGACCCGTGCATGTCAGAGTAGAGCTGTGCTCTGTGGGGTTTCCAATGGCTGATGTTTTGGGAGTAGATTGCCAGGCCTTTCTTCCAAGGCACCTCTGGGCAGATGTAAATGTCCAACTTTCCACTTATCATCCGTGCATGTTAACCATTCGTGCCACCCAGGGACTCCCAGCTGAGCAGCTTTTCTGAGATGTGTAAAACTTTTGATGAGAATGTTATCCTCCCAAGCAATATGTTTTTCTTTGGTTCCAGCAGCATTTGTTTCTGCAAAGGTGATCTTTTCTTTTTCCATTTTTGTGGAAGTAGGTGGGTACCTGTGTAAGAAAACAAAAAACAAAACATATAACCTGGCATGATTTCCTTCTTTACATTAAATCCAAGAAACTTAGACTCAAGAAACTCAGATCAATCAAACAGATGTCTGGTAACATTGCCTTTGCTTCCTATAAGTCTTTCTTTTTAAATCACCAGTTGTTTGTATTTCATCGATACGCTTGAAACTCTTTTCAGAATACTGTTGTTGTTACGTGCCATCGAGTCGGACCCAACTCATAGTGATCCCTCTTTGGGTTTCTGAGGCAGTATCACTATGGAAGCAGAATGCCCAACCTTCCTTCCGAGGAGTGGCTGGTGGGTGTGAACCACCGGCCTTCTGGTTAGCAGTCAAATGCTTTAGGCACTATGCTACTGGAGCTCTCTTTTCAGAATAGGTAGTACTTAATTGACTTTGAAATTTAAAAAATATATTCTCTATGTAAAAAGTGTGTAAAACACTGCTGTCAAAGGCAAGAGTGACTGACAGCTTTATCAGATTGTAAAGGTTTTATTTACAGTCTAATCTATACCAAAATGTCTTTATAGCAGTCTCGAATGCCAAGGATTGGAACATTCCCAAAAGGAAAGCACCCATGCATGGGTACTGGGATTCAAGAGACAAGTTTGAGAGCAGTGGGGACAGCAGCAAACCCAAGTTTCAAAATCTCATTCAAATAAATGGGAAATTTTGATTATAGATTATTACTATCATATAGATTATTATCAGCTGCTTTTTTTTTTTTTTTTAGAATTTTTATTGTGATTTGGGTAAAAGTTTACAGAACAAATTCACCTTCCATACAGCAGTTCACATACACTTTGTCTCATGACATTGACTATAATCTCCCACAATGCAACAGCTCCCCTCCCACTTCCTCCCCACAGTTATCTCTTCCCTGTGTCCTTCCCTCCATGCACTCTTGCCCCCTGAGCTGTCTCCCTGTGCATACACAGCCCTTCTAGTTTCCCATGATTGATCTCTCCAAGGAGTATATCTACCTAATGTAAATGTTCACCTCATATGCCTGTCTTTTGTTTGGCTGGAAGCCACAGGAGTGGGTTCAATTCCAGACCTGAAGGGCAGCTAGGAGCCATAGTCTCAGGGGTTCCATCAGGCTCTATCAGACTAACACACCTGGTCCTATGAGCTGCCTTTTAACGGGAAACTTTGATGTGTCTACCTGGCTCATAGGAAAACATGTTCCAAGAATATTTATCAGAAAGAAAGGGAGGGAGTCAGAGGAGGGAAAAAAGGACAAGCAAGTACTCAAATTTCGGAAGGTGAGGAGGCAGGATTCAAAAAAGTCAAATCTGCCCTTAGCTTCGTATCATCATAGAATAAAATTTGTCTCAAAGTTTCTTCAGTTTGTTTTAAACCAAAAGAATTTTGAGTGACGGTGAATTATTTTTAGAATGTTTGTTATTTGGGTTGAAGTTATTAGTGATATAGCACTCTCAGGCAAACTATACAGTAATTATACAGTATATACACTATATACAGTAACTTCTTATTGTAACTTTAGAAATAATGTAAGCAGGTACAGTGTTTTTGTGACTAGACATTTGCTGAATGAAAACCCACACCCACCGCCACTGAGTTATGACTCATAGTGACCCTACAGGACAGAGTAGAAAAGCCCCATAGGGTTTCTAAGACTGTAAATCTGTAATGCAGACTGCCTCATCTTTCTCCTGCAGAGCAGCTGGTGCATTTGAACTGCTGACCTTTTGGTTAGCAGCCAAATACTTTAACCACTACACCATCATAGCTCCTTTGCTGGATGAGAGGGAAGTAAATTGAAATTGGCAGACTCTTTGCAGTTCTAAGCACATTCAGGCAAAATCTCCCTGAAGCAATTTTCTATGGAAGAAATTCATTTAGGGAATGAATCAGGAAACAGGTTAAACACAGTTTTTTTTTTTTAACCACTTTTTCTCTTTTAATTGCTTATTTAAAATGGGAAGTATATGAAAATAATGTTACCTATGACCACTTTAATTCTCATTTAAGACTGTGTGGAAAGATTGACAAGTATCTGTATACGTGGTTGGAAGAGCAGAAGAACAGGTTTGAATGCCAGGTTTGCCTTTTCTCTGCTATGTGTCTTTGGGTAAGTCACACCCTTTCTCAGCCTCAATTGCTTCATTGCTACAACTACAACTCACTGCCTGTCAAGTCAGTCCGGACTCAGAGCCACCCCTCCTGGGTTTTCCGAGGTGGTATCACTACCAAAGTAGATTGCCCAACCTGCCTTCCAATGAGTGGCTGGTGGGTTTGAACCACCAACCTTTTGGTTAGTAGTCAAATGCCTTAGGGACTACACCACATATATGCAGAGTCCTACCTACAGAAAATAGCACCTATGGCAGGCATTGAAATTGTGCCCCTGTCCAAACATATGACACCCATCTTTAAGATAATATTACCATAATATCAGTTCAAAGGGAGTTCTGGTGGCTTAGTGCCGGTATAACAAACAAACAGCCATGATTACAGCAAATATTAATCACCAAGCTTAATTTTCTGTTTTTTCTTTCCTGTCTTCCTCTCTCTGCATAAATAGAATAGCTGACCCTTTCATGGACAATAATTCCTTCAGGACTGGTTTTCTGCTTACATATTCCTTTGTGCATACGGCTTACTCTCACAGCCTGCTTCAGCTGATCGCTGTAGTTTATGGGGCCAGACAACTCTGAGAAGAGAGAGACCAAGTTTGGAGCAACCAAGATAAAGAGGAAACAGATTCTGGGCGGTCCAAGAGGCTTGCGTGTACCCACTCACACACTCCTTGAAGAATTAATCTTTCTGGGCAGGTGCGAGAAGCTTGCAAAACTTCTCCTGGCCAAGGCCAGTTTTATATCACTGACCAAAGGAGTACCAGAAGAGTTACAATGCAAAGAAGACATCCCGATACAAGAAAGCATTATCAATATTCTTCAACAACGCTCTCCTCAGCCGGGCCCAGACAGCTCGGGCGACAGACTTTTTAGAACAGCAATTCTGTCTCTTTCAACACTCAATAAATCTTTTGCTTTTCTACTTCAACTCGTTGTGATTGGCTCTACTTGTGACAGGTGGTAAGAACTTGGTTGTTCCTGCATCAAGAGGAGGCCGTTTAGGGCTGGAGTCTTGGTTTTAAAACCCTGTGCACATACCTTCTTGCGACTGACAACGAAATGACCAGGAGCTAGATTACCCATCGCAACAGGCGACGGTATGATGTAGAAAAGATCACATGTGAAGGGTTCTGTGGGTAGGAAAGCGTTTTGCACACTCTCTGATTAAGCCAGCCCGCAACGGTTTGTAACTCAATTGCCTCGGACACAGACTGAGACATTCTTTAGGGTCGAGCAAGAATAAATGCTCCTTTTCTTGGCAGTCGGCAGGTGTTGAGTAGCACCCGGATGCGGTCTGAAGCCAAGGCGTCTTTCTCCCTTAGCAACAGTCGTGAAGGAAGTGGTTGCGGCAGCCACGCCCTATGCGCCTGCGCCGCGACGCCGTCTGCTGACGTGGAACTGGGCCCGCTGCAGTGTGTGAGCGCTGCTGGAGTGGCGGAGCGGTGGTTGGGGTTGGTATGGCGGCGCCCCTTGCTCCGCGCCGGGGAGCTGGTGCTGCCAGCCAGCGTTGGTTGGCTTTGCTGCCGCTGCTGCTGCTGGCGCGGCCCGCAGGGGCCCTGTTGGAGGGGCTCTATTGCGGCACCCGCGACTGCTACGAGGTGCTGGGGGTAAGCCGCACGGCGGGAAAGGCGGAAATTGCGCGGGCCTACCGCCAGCTGGCCCGGCGCTATCATCCCGACCGCTACCGGCCCGAGCCCGGCGACGAGGGCCTCGGGCGGACGCCGCAGAGCGCCGAGGAGGCCTTCCTGCTGGTGGCGACCGCCTACGAGACTCTCAAGGTGAGGAAGGCGGTGCGCATGGGCTGGGAGGACCTGCCGGGAAACTCGTGGCGCGGCTCTCTCGGCCTCTGGTCGGCGGAGCGAGGTCCTCTTTGATTCCAGCGCCAGCCCCGCAGCTTCCAAGACCCGTAGGATGCTCACGCTTTCCAACACGGCCCCTTCACAAGGGTGAGACTGTTTCGAGCTCTGTCAAAATGGCGTGGCGGCGGCGGCATTGCCTGACCTCTAACTGCGTGAGGTGGCAAGAGATCAACAGTCCATGTATACCTCTTCTCAAACTTTTTACCAATTCTGACACCACCCGACCCTCCTATGGCACTCTCCACTCCTGCTGGCTTTGATAATACGTTGCAATGGCCACATAGAACAATTACCAAAACACCAAACCCAACCCAGTTCCACCAAGTAACAGGTTACAATAATGTATCAGGAAAGACTCCAGATACAGTTCTTCATCAGGACAGCCTCTCTCTGGTCCTTGGGCCTCTCCCTCTGCGCTGCTCTGGCAAGCGTTAAAAAGCTGCTGCGCTCCACCAGTAAGTGCCCAGAGGGACCCTATTCTGCCAGGAAGTCCGTCAGAAGGTGCTCAGCTCCTTACTGTCCTAGTTGTCCAGCCTAGCTCTGTCTAGCTTTTGCCCAGGCCACTCCAGATGTGGTTTTTCTGCCCTCACCTGCAGCATAGATAGCATCTCTTACTTTCAACTATTACAGGTAACAATAACCAAAATAACCATCTAAGAATTAAAAATTTCACTCCCCATGCCCCTTTGCTCTCTCTTACAAAGTCCTTTGCTTCTTTGAGTCTAGAGTCACTTCAGTGAGTTCCACTATTGACACCTACTGTAAAATGGCGTGGCAGAGGTATTGACTTCCTCCAGTAATAAGATGAGCCGGGAGAGAGACTCAAGGTCATCAGCTTAAGGCTAATATCTGTGAGGTGTAGGTCAGACATATCTCCTTTCTCCAACCTTTTTACCAATTCTCATACCAACTGTCCATCTCACAGCATTCTTTACTCCACTACTGGGTTTGATAATTTGTTGCAGTAACCACACACAACTAAAACCATACCCACAATTGTGGGGTTTATTAGGGAAGTAATAGGTTACAATTCAGGATCAGGAAAGACCAGGGTACAGTTCTTTGATTAGGGCAGCCTATTCTCACTGTGCCCACAGGCCTCTTTCTGGCCCTCAGCCCCTCAGCCGGTGGGCCAGCCTGACCTCTGCCCTGCTTGGGCAAATGTTACAAAATTCTTTAGCACCAACTGGTAAGTGCCCCAAAGCACCTTGCTTTACCAATAAGCCTCCTGCCTGAAGGTGCTCAACCTCCTAGTTCCATGGGTCAGTGAGCCTAACTCCTCCATGTGCTCTGAGGCATGTCACTGCCAGCAAGATTCCTGCCTGAAAGTGCTCAGCTCTTTTAATCCATGGTGGCCCCCTGTACTGTCTGCCAGTGTCCTGGTTCTACTACCTCTGCTGCCACTGCTTCTCACCATGTGTCACCAACTCTAGTGTTATAATTCTCTGTCTCCTGGGGCTAGGAGGTTCCCAGCATAGGGATCCAGGTCCAAAGGATGCACTCTGCTGCTGTCTCTTGGTAGTGGTCAGGTCCTCCCTTTCCACATCTGGGATAGTTTTAAGTCTAATGCAGTGGCAGAACTGGCAGTCCTCCCATTAGGGTTCCATACACCTTATTTACATGGTCCCGCACTCACGTAAACTACACACATGGACCTTGTTGGATGGAACACACAAGAGTCAGATCACCTACATTTGTGGAAAGGCATTATAGAAAAGCTCAATATCATCTATCAGACCAAGGCCAGGGGCTCATTATGGAACAGACTTATCAATTGCTCATCTCCAAGTTCAAACTGAATTTGAAGAAATTTAAAATAAGTCCAAAAGAGCCAAAATACGACCTTGAGTATATCCAACCTGAATTTAGAGACCATTGCAAGAATGGATTTGATGCACTAAACAATGACTGAAGACCGGAAGAGTTGTGGGATGATATCAAGGACATCATATATGAAGAAAGCAGGTTATTAAACCAAAAAAAACCAAACTCATTGCCTTCGAGTCAGATCTGACTCATAGTGATTCCTTCTTGGGTTTCCAGGTGGTATCACTATGGAAGTAGATTGCCCAGTCTTCTTTTCAAGGAGTGGCTGGTGGGCTTGAACTGCTAGCCTTCTGGTTAGCAGTCAAATGCCTTAGGCACTGTGTCACCAGAGCTACTTTATTGCTTTTTTTCTTTTTTAAAAAAAGGGCATTGGGAAGGAAAAAAAGACCAAAGCGGATGTCAGAAGAGACTTGGAAACTTGCCCTTGAACATAGAATACTAAAACTAATGGGAGAAATGATGATGTAACAGAGCTGAACAGATTTCAAAGGGCAGCTCACGAAGACAAAGTAAAGTGTTAAAAAGAAATATGTACAGACCTGGAGTTAGACACCAAAAGGGAAGAACATGTTCAGAATTTGTTAAGAAGAAAACAAGAAAAAATTCAAGCATTGAGTTACAATATTGAAGGATTCTATGGAGAAGATATTGAACCACACTGGAAGCATCAAAAGGAGGTGTAAGGAATACACAGAGTCAGTGTACCAAAAAGAATTGGTAAGCGTTCACCCATCTCAGGAGGTAGCATATGATCAAGAACTGATGGTACTGAAGAAAGAAGTCCAAGCTGCACTGAAGGCATTGGTGAAAAACAAGGCTCAAGGAATTGATGGAATACCAGTTGAAATGTTTCAACAAAAGGATGCAACATTGGAAGAGTTCACTCATCTATGCCAAATTTTGGAAGACAGCTACCCAGCCACCTGACTGGAAGAGATCCATATTTGTGCCCATTCCAAAGAAAGGTGATTCAGCAGAATGTGGAAATTACCAAGCAGTATCATTAATATGACATGCAAGTAAAGTTTTGCTGAAGATAATATTCAAAAACAATTGCAGTAGTACATTGATAGGGAAATGCCAGAAATTCAAGCAGGATTCAGAAGAAGACATGGAACATGGAATATTATTGCTAATGTCAGATGGATCTTGGCTGAAAACAGAGAATACCAGAAAGCTATTTCTGTGTTTTATTGACTATGCAAAGACATTCGACTGCATGGATCATAAGAAATTATGGGTAACAATGCAAAGAATGGGAACTACAGAACACTTCATTGTGCTCATGCAGAACCTGTACATACACCAAGAGGCAGTTTTTCAAACAAAACAAGGGGATACTGCATGGTTTAGAATCAGGAAAGGTGTGTATCAGGGTTGTATCCTTTTACCATAGTTACTCAATCTGGATGAGCAAATAATCCAAGAAGCTGGACTATATGAAGAAGAACATGGCATCAGGATTGGAAGATTTACTAACCTGTGTTATGCAGATGACACATCCTTGCTTACTGAAAGTGAGGAGGATTTGAAGCACTTACTGTTGAAGATCAAAGACTGTAGCCTTCAGTATGGATTACACCTCAACATTAAACAAAAATTCTCACCACTTGCCCAATAAACAACATCATGATAAATGGAAAAAAGGTTGAAGTTAGTCAAGAATTTCATTTTACTTGGAAGCAGCAGTCGAGAAATTAGAGGTTGTATTACATTTGACAAATCTGCTGCAAAAGACCTCTTTAAAGTGTTAAGGAGCAAAGATGTCACTCTGAAGACAAAGGGTTGCCTAACCCAAGCCATTGTATCTTCAGTCACTGTCCATGCAAAAGCTGGACAGTGAATAAAGAAGACCAAAGACGAACTGATGCCTTTGAATTATGGTATTGATGAAGAATACTGAATATACCATCGACTTCCAGAAGAACGAACAAATCTGTCTTGAAAGAAGTACTCCCAGAATGCTCCTTGGAAGTGAGGATGGCGAGACTTTGTCTTACATTTTTGGGTGTGTTATCAGGAAAGACCAGTCACTGGAGAAGGACATCATCCTTGGGAAAGTAGAGGGTCAGCAGAAAAGAGAAAGACCCTCCAGGAGATGGGCTGACACGGTGGCTCAAATACAGCAATGATTGTGAGGATGGCGCAGGCCCGAGTAGTGCTTACTTCTTTTGTACACAGGATTGCTTTGAGTTGTAATTAACCTGACAGTGCCTACCAACACCCCACAAGGTGGTCTGCACCTTATCTGCACGATTAACAAGCTGTCCAGTCCCCTTGGTGGGCCACAAACACCTTATTTGCACAGCCCTACCAAATCATTTGGCGGGAATGAAAAGACTGACTAGAAAGGCCGTATGAAAGTGATCTGTCGCCCTGCAGCCTCCCATGGAAAAGGTGTTTCCTCCTCCTTTTTGTGACAGGGTTATGCAAAGCTTCTGGGATCTTAAGATTTATTGAAAGCATTTTAATAATGTGCAATTGAAACTTGGAAAACAGGGTAATTATCATTATCAGGATCTGTGGCAGAACCGACAGGAGAGCTCTTGAGCGTGGAATGATAGTGTGATGGTGCTGATTTTGCATGGCATAAATTCCTGTTCTGAAAATAGTATTAATTGTGACATTTAGCTTGGAATGACAAAAAACACTAAGAAGAGCAATGAACAAGTCAGAAGGTAGGATGTTTGATTCTTAGCTCTGACACTCCTGTATGACCCTGAGTAGGTGATTTAAAATGTGTCAAAGTAGCTGTTTCTTCATTGGTGAAAGTAAGGTCAGGATGCCTCCTCACAGAATTATTATGAGACATTTACATGGTAAGTGAGACACCCCCTGTGTAGTATCTATAATTTAGTAGGTGCTTAACAAATGTGTTACACATTTAGGAATGAGTTCTTGCTTGGGGTAAAAGACTCTTATGAATTTCTAGAAGGAGACATTTTGTGAAAATGTCTTTAATCATTTGACAAAGGTTTCGTTGAGTCAAGGAGGGGCAGAAATGGAGAGGAGTTAGCCTCAATGCTATTTTCTTCTGCTAGCTGCAAAAATCAAACCATATAAGAAATCGAAAAGGTTAAGGCATACTTGAT